CTACTCTACAATAAATCTAATCTTGAATTTTTATACAGATACATATGATGTAATTATTGCTTGGAACTTGTTAAGATTTTTTGGTGGTAAGAAGGGGGTTTGAGAGAGGACTTGAAAGAGAAGGAGACACACCCGAGTTCCCTTTTTGGAGAGGTGAAAACTCCTTTTTTTTTTTTTTTTCATTCACAAACCATTTAATACATTAACAGTAATTTTCTCACCTAATATTTTCCTAATACAAGAAAATTTATCAAACATTTAATGCAATATTACATTTAAAGGATTTGCTGCCTTTTGTGCGGCTCCATGTTGCTATACTTTTGCTGCTATTTTGCAACCTTTCATTTTCATTTGCTATTCATTATAGCCTTATTTCATCAACATTTGCAACTTAGCTTGTTGCACTTTGCTGCTACTTTGCTGTTGGTGCAACTCTCCCTTCTTCATTTGTTGCCATTTTGTGCAGCCTTTCATTTACATTTGCTTTTCACTTTTTTTTTTTCACAGCCATGTACCACCCTTCTCAAACAACCTCAGGTCCTCCTTCATTACAGCTTTCCTTCTTTGGATTTTGCCGCCTCAAACAAATTTTGGAGGTTTTGCAATTAAGTTGCATGTTTTGAGTAAATAAAACAAGGAATTGGTACCTCAAAGTGCTACTTCATCATCTTTTTCATCTTCTACAACTTCCTTAGGGTTATAGATCAGATTCATCTTTATGGTGAACATGACTTGATGCATGCTCTAAGTTGTCTTCCTTTCTCAGGCTGCACTCTTGACATACATTCTTTTTCCCTTTAGGCTGTTGCCTGTAGAAACCATGAACACCTTCTCTTCGTTGGTCCAGCTTGCCTCTTCACACCATCTCCTCACCATGCTTGATCTTGAGCTATAGTGGGCCTACCATATGCCTTCATCACTTGCTGAGTGATTTGGCTAAGAATGGAAGAGGGATTTCACAACAAAACCTACTAGAATCCATTTAGAAAGGTGGGTATTTTTTTTGGTCTTTTGGGTGTTCTCTCAAAATCACTCTTAGAGGTCTCTCAATATCATGAAGGCTCTGATACCATTTGTTGGTTTTTCCACAAAGAAATGGAGAGAAAATCAGGAAGAAGATAGAAAGCAGAACCCACAGCATTTCTGATTAATTCAACCTTTTGTACATAGAAAGAATTACAATGAAAAGTTAAGATTTGACTTTTACTTTTCCCCAAGTTGTGCTACCTCGCCTCCTTCTAAGTAGCCAATGGTATAACATACCAATAAACAACAAAAAAGGGCAGCATATCAATACAAACTAAGCTTCAAAACCAACAGCCTATTTCCTAAGTTACATTCAAAAGCTAACTAAGCAATAGTTGCCCTGTTTCATTACTTTAGCTAATCACTGTGCTGTAACTTCAAAAGTATTGTTGGACATGTGTAGCCCTACTGTCACGGCTAAACTCAATAAAACTAACTGTAATTGCAAACAACAAAGGAGTAATCATCCTGGTTTTTGTTACCTATCAGTGTGGTCCGTTCTTAATTTCATCAAATGATCATGGCTCCATGACCATCATTGATTTTAACATTAAGTCTTCTCAGCCAAATAGAATGAAGGATCATGTGAAAGACATCGAACCTCTTTGGTGGAGAATTGAACACAAAATGTCTTCTTACATGCAGCACCCTTCTCTACATTCTTATGTACTGCCTCTAGGATATGCCATTTAGTATGTTCTTTAAATTAGGGATATCATCCACTGAAAGTACAACAGTAAACGACTTCCAATTCAAGACATCACTAAATGGAGGGACATAACTCACAGAAATCAACACTGGAACGCATCCATTGTATAGAGCCTCCACAATTCTGGGGCTGGCAACCTCATAACCACTTGGACAAAGGCAGTATTTACTCTTCCTCATCATATCGTAGTAGGATATATACCCCTTTAGGAAGGTATTTGTGTACCCTGATGTCTTCATCCTTGTTTTCCCAGTGTTCAAGTAGGACAGATCTAATAGGGCCATGCACCCCTCTTGCAAAGAAAGCCAAGATTGTACGATGCGAGGGAGATGGGCCCCCAACCAAGCCTTGTAGTTTGTCAGTTTGGAGGTTGATCTCTGGTATGGACACATCCTTGATGGGGTTGAATTTTTCTTAGGTGTTGGCATTGCATAAAGCACGGATGGAGTTCTTGATTAGGTATGGAATGGAAAAACTTGCCTTCAGCCTCTAAAACAAAAACCAAAAATAAAAAAAAGGGGGTTGTGGGGTTTGGACACGTTTGTTTCCAATGTTCCTAGTTCTAACATTGCCAAAAAAAAAAAAAAAAAAAAGATTGTTAAATGGTATAAGGGATGTATAAAGTAGTAATGCTGAACACTCACCCAATCATGGCAAGAAAGCATGAAATGGTCAGAACCGAGGCTTCAATTCCAATAGGGGTCTTTCCTTGCTACAAGATCAACATAATCTATAACAGTCCTCTTTATGGGACCAAAATCATGGGAGTCGCGAACATATACTAATTGTACCATCTTGGCTACACTGAATGGAAGGTAGAAAACATGTGCTTTCTCAGGGTCTTTAGTTGGGAATTTGCTACCTAAGTCAAGCTTATGGATGAAATTTCCTTCCATGGAGTATATGCTCTTAATTGCAAGGACCATCATGAAACACTAGGGGCTCCCCTTGGAGATACACGAAGATCTTGAATTGCTTTTCCATCTCCACGTAGCTCCTATAATTGCAAAGAATCCATAATCATAGAAACTAAAATTGGAATGATATACAAAAAATTAGTGTCAATATCCTCTCACTTGACTCAAATTTTAAATTTTAAATTATCAAACTAAAGTCTAAACCTTTTACAATGAGTTTAGGTTGAATGATTTGGAGGGAAAGAAAAAATACATTCTTCCCCTTTATTGCTTTATTAATAGAGGAGAAGTTTGAGCCTTGAGAGAAATGGAACCACTTTGATTTTGTTTAGTTTTTACTTTTTAAAAAAAATATTTATAAATATTTTATTTTAAATATTTATTTAATTAATAAAATTAAAAACTTTTATTCTTTTTTATTTTATTTTTTATTAAATTATTTATAAATATTTTATTTT